GAGAGAGAGAGAGAGAGAGAGAGAGAGAGAGAGAGAGAGAGAGAGAGAGAGAGAGAGAGAGAGATGGCCCATAACTGCTGAGAACGTGGCACCTTTCCAGGGTACGTCTTTCTGAGAGAGAGAGAGAGAGAGAGAGAGAGAGAGAGAGAGAGAGAGAGAGAGAGAATCCTCTGCAAGGGAGCAATCAATGCTTTCGTATGGGAATCGCACCAGCCAGGTTGAACGTGGGGGCTGAGAGGCCACCCAGTGGTCTTGTGGTCGTCTTCAATTCAGTAACCCCCCGCAGACCCCCCGTTCTGCCATGATGTTTTGTCCATGAATGGACGCTGGGCCCGTTTCCCAGCAGGTGGTGGTCCCCACTAATAGACTGCAGTGGAGTCATCAGCAAGGCAAGACCTCAGCAGAGAAGATGCACTCATTGTCTTCAAATCTGCAGCTTTGCAGCAACGATGTATGATCGGAAAAACAAAAAAGAAAGAAAGACAAAAGACGCACGTGCCTGTCATTCGGGACCCCCGATCAAAATTGGAAAGATACAGACAAGATTAGCATGACCCCTGCACAAGGAATGAAGGATGACATCCATAAAATGGTCTCCCTACCCCCCACCCCCGAAAAGAAAGAAAAAAAAAGCACATGGCTTTTGGGAGAGCTGCAGGATGACCTCCCGTTCACATGGAGCTAGCGAAGAGCTAGCGAAGAGTATGGGCTAGCGAAGAGTATGGGCTAGCGAAGAGTATGGGCGTTGCCGCTCCGCACAGGAAACGAAAAACGAGACGAATGCATCTCCTCACAGAAAATGAACAGGTTCATCCGCTTGCCATGAATAATAATGAATGTATATTGTCACCTTTCATGGGCAGGTGCACTCATTTCAGATTTTGTTTCGTGTACTGTACGGCCACGCCTTATTGGATGGAGCGACTGACTCTGGATGGGCTAAAGCAGATCCATTGCGATTTTCTGCACAACAAACACTTCCAGATTCAGGCGCAGCGTTACCTCCGCCGTGTAATATTCTATTATTCTCCACTCGACTCCTGGCCGTCTATCTTCGCGATCTACGGGCCAGAGTGAGGAATGCGCCCGGGCCCCCGGCCGATGATGATTCGCAAAAAAGAGGGAAAAAAAAAAAAGGAATGCAGGCAAGGGGGACCTCAACAGGCACGCGGTGAATGCTGTGCACTTGGCTGTCTTCTCAGAAGAGCTTTTCCTGATCCATTTGATCTGCTTTTGTGCATCTCGGCGTATAACACATCCAGATTCAGGTGCTCAAAAATACAGAATGGCACCCTCAATGTCCCTCATTTAATAAGGTCATTCAAGTTATGAGTGTGTGTTGTGTTCGGGGGAAGACGGCAAACTTTAAGACACTTGGTTTCCAGTGCCACTGCAGCTCCCTTCTGTCATTATAGGGGACTTCATGAATGGGGTTAGAAATTAGACGCTACTGTTTATTCTTGTATGCCAAAAGGATTTGACCTCCTGATCATTATTTATATATCCATAAGGATTGGAACTCATGGTCATTATGGTGTCCATGAGGATTGATGTCCATAAGGATCTGAACTGTATTAACAGCTGGCAGTGCATGTGTCCACAATTCTGGACACACAAGCTTTTTGTTCGGTCATTATGTAACAGGCCGGCCCAGTATTGGAAGAGAACTTCGCTTCGTTGTCAACCTTTCCAAACATACCAGGGAATTGGAGGCAATGCAGGCCGACACAAAGAGGAAGAAATGACATCATCATGGCATATTTTCTTCAATCAAAGAGAGAGTGTGTGTGTGTGTGTGTGTGTGTGTGTGTGTGTGTGTGTGTGTGTGTGTGTGTG